TGGAATTAAGTGTATCCCTTTTACAGATTTACCAGCAGCTCATATACTACTCAAGCCCTTCTAAGAGAGTATGTTTGCCTGAAATGGTGTATGCAGTGAAATTGTGCCCTCACAAAGGATTATTCTGATGCAATTTATGCTGGATGTTGTAGTGTTTGTAATCAACAAATACAAAGATGGAAAAACATGAGGAAGTCATAAAGCAACATGAGAATGAGCACAGCATCACAGTTTCTATTTCCTTTGAGTCTTTGGCCAGGCTTCTGAGACAGAGCTGGAAATCAATAGTAAATTTGTGTCTTATTTTTCTCATTTGTTTTTCTTTACAACATCCCAACATACCTATATTCCCAATCCTACTTTCTTTTTTAAATGCTGTGTAGCAAGTTGTGCAACACACAGCTATGTGAGCTTTGCAGCATTATTTCAAATTGAGGGTATGGTATGTGCACGCAGAAATCGGAGGAGGCCTTTTCAGAGGCTGCCTGTCTGCAGCATGGATCTGGGATGCAGTGAATAGTAGGACCTGGCAGCATTTGGGTTCTGTCCTGTAGTCCCTGACCGCATCCAGACAAAAAGCAAACAAACCAACAAAACAAACGTGCAACTGAGACAGACCATATGTTAGAGCTGGGCAAACAGTAGTCATTTCTGTGGTATGTGTGTATGTATGGCTTCCCTCAAATGACACAAGGAAGAAACACTGCATGCTTCTGTCAGAGCCCAACAGCCTGCATGCTGTGGGCTATCCTTCCTTTACTGTTTTTTCTATTATCTATTAAAATGCTCTTTTGTCTTTAGGTTCTCAGCTGCTTATTTTTGCAGATGATTTACAAGTACTAGATCTGGGGTAAATGCAGGGGTTCAGTGGAATCTGTTGAATTACAGGAGCTGAGAATCTGGCTTCTCTGTTTCCAGTTTTCACTGTGCAGCCTGAGTTAATGAAAGGTCCACTTGAGCTTTTACATGTGACTATTCCTTTGCTTGTAAAGCTACACGGATTCAAAACCTAACTTTTGAGATACAGGTGGGAAAGTCTGCTTTCCCAGTGAAGAGGAGAAAGCAAATTTTATCTGTTCTCTGCTGGTGTCTTACCAAGACACTGCAAAATAGAGACTCACTAATTTGCAGACCCACTAATTGAGATCCAGTAAGATGTTTTTCTCCTTTGTGATAATTAAATCTTGGGTATTGGACATGTAGAGCTAGATACATATCATGCTAATGTAGTTTACAAGAGGCATATATGGGGACACGTGCAAGTGCACTCATTCATGATTCAGTCAGATGGAGGGTGAAAGGTTTTGTCATGCTTATTTAGTAGAAAACTGGCTCCCTTTTGGAGTCACGTGTCACTGTTCATCTTGGTTGTTCATTTTATATACTACCAGCAGTTACAGAACTTGATTTTTCAGGAGAGTTGAGAGTTGCATGGCTTTATTTTTTAGTTTTGCCACTGAACTGGCAACGGAGTTTGGGTAAATAAAGATACTTTTGGAAAAATCCTTTCTTATGATTTTGTCAATTCTGGATTTTATGATTTGACAAAAAAAAGTTTTTAGTCTTTCATGGTTGACTGTAAACTTTGATTTCCTTTCTTACCATATAAACACTTTTCATCTGAATTATCCTGTCCATATGCTTACTTTAGTCAAAAATAAATGTGAAGTAACATGACCTAGGATAAACCTGTTTAATTTTGAGACTTGCATAAGGAGTTATAATCTAGTATTTGCCTCTAGGTAAGATTAGGCATGTGGACAGTTGATATGGGTCAAGTGACATGTGGTAACTTGCTTAACAATCATGTTAATTTTTGTTCATGTTATGTGACAGCCAGTAGAGTGATCTCCTTTGTGATGATGCTTGTACCATGGGAAAGGTTTCAAATTAGGAAGTGTGTTGCCTCTGTAAGGCACTCATTTGAATGCTTGTGCTTTTAATTGTTTGATTAATGCTGCGCCCAGAAAAATTTTAGGCCAACTTCCATTTTGATTCATTTGGTCTGATCCTGTGTGCTAAGATTTGCCTGAGTGTTTTTTTTTATGCTGAACAGGATCGCAGAAGGACAAATATACATCTGCTAATCATTCAATAGGAAATGCTTTAGTCTAAAAATTCATCAGCTTGTATAGTGCTCAGGGCTGTCCTTGGTTGTAAGAAAGACAAACTACTTGGCTGTTTCAGTCAGGATTTAAACCATGAATAGATAACACAAATAGAGCGTGTGTGAATGTGTTTTAAGTAGACAGTGATGTAAGATTTGTTAGTAGGTTTTCTTCCTACATTTTTTGCTAATTTCTGCCATTAATTTTATTTGGAAGTTCACATATGAAGAGTGAAATTAATTAAGTTGTTAATTATCTTCTCTGCTTCCACATCACTATTGTATTTTATGCTTTTACGGCTTTGTTATGGCTTGCTTCATGTGACCCAATTAAAGAAGCTTTTATAGTTTCTTTTGGAAACCACGTTGCTGATGGGACCAAAAAATTCCTGTTAAAGAATAGCACAAATCCAGGAAATTCTAACAAAAATCTTCATTTTTTTAACTGACTGGTGTTAGATGTAATTTGCACGTTCTTTATGAGCAAAGAATGATTAAGCCTTTCTGACTTCTCCCTTAAGATTCATAGGTTTTCACTGATCTGTTGATCATAGGTTGGCTGATAGTACTGTATTGGGTCAGTGGTAACTGCTGTTTTTCAGTCCCGATTCCGATTCACAGTTGTCCTGAAATGGTTTCTGCGCCTCTGGCTTTTTTATGAAGTTGCAGCAATGCAAAGCCAGCAGATACTAATGAAACTACTCAAATTGTGGATCACTGCCTGGAAGGGGGAAAAAATGCTATGTTTACGACTAGGATCAAAGCTGAATTAAATTTATTTGGCAAATCAAGGAGGAATTTGGAACCAATAATAATCCTTTTGGAAATACGCTTTCTGATTGAAACAAACCTGCTTTTCCTGATTCAGTCTCAATCCAGAAAATGGAGTGCCTGACTATAACGAAAGGGTAGCTGCAGATTTATTTATGGCCTGATCACGGTTAAGAGGTATCAGAATATGATAAGGAGACTTTTTTTCCTCTAAAACCCTCAGGCCAAATTGTCTACTCCAGGGGTTCGGGTATCTGAATGTACACACTCCACCTAGTACTATACAAGCCAAAAAAATTCTGTGTTCATTGTCAGCGCAGTCACAGATTGCCAAAGATCGCATTGTCATTTTAAGTATGTTCTAACTTGTAATTGCTCATAGCTATCAGTAAACACCGGTGATATACATGCTAAATATTTGAGACTTGCTTATTTATAGCTGGAGTCTGTTTTCCTGGTGTATCCGTTGGAAGTTATCCTAAATGATTGGCCCCATGTGAAGAAAAAGTCATAAAACCTAAACAGATGCAGAAAGCCTTCAATACTGTAAACCATGTTCTAGATCTAACTGCAGAGTTCAATGCAAACTGTACTGGTAATAAAAGAGGTAGAATCTTGCAAGCAGGAAAAATTCTGATATTTGTCTGGTTGGTAGGGTTTCAGCCTGATCATTGCTGGATTCCTTCTTGGAGTTAAGAGGAAAATATGCTTAAAAATTCCCCAAAAGCCTAAGATGAGAGACCTTTTTTCTTCTAATTCTGGTATGCTAGAAACTGCTTAAGCTAATTCTAGAAAATGGCACATTTTGCCTCATTTATAATGGCTTTAAACTTTGGTGCATTGAATATCGATGCTTTTTAAGGGTAAGCTAGCCGGGTGAGCCATAAGTGCTTATCTCGGAGAAAACCTAGACAGCAATATTTGAGACTTGCCTAGTATCTGTTGATTTTAGATTTTCTATGAAGTTCTTAAGCATAACTCCAAACTTTCAGCCTCTTATTCTGACATACAGAACACCAGGAATTCCCATTAGAACTTTCAAGCCAACATCCATGCGTACCGTATATTAATATAGCTCCATTATTTCTAGCAGAATGATACTGACTGTCACCAGGCCAAAATCAGGTCATATGTTTCAGTTAGGGTCCCCAAATCCAAGTCGGACAAGTAGGTTTATGCTTGGAAGACTGCTGGGTTGAGTTTCAGGTTATTGTTCTCAGAGCGCTAGTACTCGGAATGTGTTCCGTAGCAATGGTAGCTGTACTTCACTACTACAGCCATACTTTCTGTTTGCACATACATCATACATTAGGCACATTGCCTGATCACCGAGTCATTCCTAATGAGTCAAATACTGTGCAGAAAGACTGAATTTGAATGTGATGTTCCCGAATCAACTACTGCTCAGGGTAATCGTGATTTACTGTTAATAAATCAGACTCTTCTCCTGTAGCTGTAAAAAGACTTAAACATCTGTCTTACCTAAAAGTGTATACTGTATTTTTCTTATAAAATTCAAAAGAAATTGTTTGCCAAATAAACTTTTTCTGAGTAGATACATAACACTTTTCCAATCTGTCTTAGGTAATAATTCTTCCTGTTTTAGTTTCCCTAACTTGCATATATTGCTAATGGTTAAGTTAGTATTAGCAAAACCCTGCATAAGGCTCAAATTCTAAGCTGTTGTAATGCCTCTAAGTACAGAAGCTAAACTCTTGAATGGAAAGATTTACACGGTACTTTCATGGAGAGTTTCATGACCTAAATGCCAGTTACAACTAAATTGTTGCTTGCAGTCTCCTTTGCATGTATTACAGTGAAACTGAAGACATTTCCAAGGGCTGTTGATGTAACGCCTTCCCTGGCTGCTTGCGCTGTTCTGCTCCCCTTACAGACACACACAGAAAATTCATTTCTAACGGAGCATAACTCAGCCCATCTGAAAACTTTTGATGTCTGCCTTTCCTCATTACAGCCATAGTAGATGCCCAGCAGTAGCTTAAGAGTTCAAAAGAAAGTTTTATAAACAGGACAGAGCAACTATATTGCCTATGATTAAGCACACAAACTGTTAAATTACAGGAAATGACTGGAAATAATTTTAACCGAAGTTTCTTCTTACCTTCTTCAGCAAGTGCTATGAAAGGCACGCTCCCTAGAACGAAGATGAAGAATTGAACTTTAATAAACATCTTTGATCTGGTTAGAGAATAGATTTCCAATCTTGAGACCAGATGGATTCAAGTTCTGATTAATTATTTAGAGGCAGGGGAGAATTGAGATCATAAACAGAAGTAACTGCAAAAAAAACTTTGGTATTCCAAATATTCCTTTAACTGCTGTAGTCTAAAGGGGGAAGGTTTTCCCAGATCATAACTATGCAGCTAAAGAGAACTGAGGGGAGTCGGCATTATTTTCTTTAGCCAAGGGGTGGGAGCATGCCTAAGGTGGTCCTCAAAGAAGAGCCAGGCCCGCCCTCTGCACTCTGTTTGGTCAGTACTAAAATTATGATCTCAGCCCAGGTTTAAAGTTACAGGAGCTGTTGTGGCTTTCAGAAGACTCTTATTTAGCAAAGGGGGAAAGGGCGTTTAGGCAGAGCGAGGTGTTCAGGGAGTTCCCTCCTGTCTGCAAGCTGTCCCTAAAAATATTTAAGGAACAACACTAAGGACATTTTTCCTGTTATTTCCAGCAGTGAACTGATGTGTTTTTCATTTCAAAGTGAGCCCCCATGTTTATCTGAGCAAGTGTGGTAGTGAATGTTCATTTAGGCATACTGAAATAGTTTTAGGACAGGTTATTTAATTCTGCAGTAAATACTGTCTGAATTTTTCTGCACGTCCAAGTCTCTCTCAGCTTGTGTCCTCAAGTGACACCCTAGCTGTACTCCAGCATTTACTTCTGCCCACGGGCTTGCTGGCCTCAGTGTGCTAATATCGCCCTACCAAGATAGAGGATTTTTTGGTTTTGTATGTAACTATTAGTAGTACAGCTGTACAATGGTCTGTACAAGACTGCTTACTTTTTTCTTGTATATGTTTCTGCACATCAGCATTGCATGGCATGTATGCAAGACTAGATTAACACTCTACCACCATCTGTGACAGATACTTTTTCTCACAAATAATGGTTGTTAGACAGGAACTGGGGCTGAAGCAGGACTTGGGGAGCAATGATTTAGATATATTAATCCTTTTCTGAATCTTCCCTTGTCTTGAGCAAGTAATAATCTGCTGATTTACATCTGTTTAGGAATGTGATGAGTTTTAATCAGTGCTCGCATGTGAACTAACTGCACAAGTGTGCCCCGTAGCTGAGCGGAGGAAGTACGTGACCTTCTCCCTCCGTTTCTGTACCTTGAAGTCCTGCAGCGCGAGGACACCAGACTCTGAAGCATAGCCGCAGAAGCATGGATGTTTCCTTTCTGCTGACAGTTGTGGAGGAGGTAACCTCTGCAGAAGAGTGGGGCAGACTTGTGGGAGAGGTTTTATCTTTTCAAAAACAAACAAACAAAAAAAACCCAAACAACAAAACAAAACCTAAGACATGGCTAGGTTATTTTGCTCAGTGAATGTGAGAGAGAGCTGTCATTAAGACCCCACAACACTTTGAGCTGTAAAGGAGTAAAGCAAGTCTGAACGTAAGCAGTGATAGAGTGATGTGAAGACGGATGCAGGTGGGAAATGCAACACCTTCCATAGGGCTTGGCTTTTGAAAGTGATAGGTGCCAAAGGAATTTGTTAGCTATAGATATAAATTATGGTGCTATAATTGTGTCCTTTGTATTGAAGATCACTAGGAGAGTAGGATGAAAACAGTCTATGCTAATGCAAAGAAACAACAGGCAATATTGGCTTATTGTCTTTAGAAACAGTAAAATAAATATTCCCATATACTAACTGTCAGCATGTCTTGAATCTTAAAATCTGGGATTAATTATTCCTCAATAATGCTGCTTCAGATTTGTTTAAAAGAATGTTTGCTTATTGGGAAATGCCACTCATATGAAACTGAAATTTGCTGGGGGAGTATGTCAGTTTTAATGAAATGTATTTTGAAAAATCAAAACAAATCATTTTTTACCTTATCAAAATGGAACATTTGGAATTCTGTAGGTATTTTCAGAACAAAAGATGAGTGTAGTACACTATGAAAGACAAACTGGAACAAACAGTGACTTTTTAATGTTAACAAATTCTCATCTGGAACAAAAAGAAGGTATTTTAGGATTTCATTCAATTTTCTTCAAAGGTACTCTGAAGACCTTTCACTTTTATGATTATTCATATAAACAAATTTGTCTCAGGCTTAGGAATAAGCCTTTCTAAAGAAGGATAAGCTATTTGCTGATTTAAATAATTTCTTCCTTTAAACTGTACCTTATTCTGGGTATAGAACTGGAGCTCTTGAGCTTTCAGGAATTGCAGATGTCCAAGTTCCAGTGGCTACTTCAACACTTTTTAACATTTTTATTATTCTTCCCGATAAGGAATGGTTTCTCTTATACCAGCATATTTCTCCTGCTCCAGCCTGTTCCTCAAAGAAAAACTCTTTAGATAAATCTATTGAACTATGAAGAATTTAATAAAATCAGCTTCTATCACAGTATCAAAGTGCAACAAAGGGAAAGAAATGTGCCTACAGATGCAAAACAAGTTAGTGAAAAAGCTAGGAATGTCTTACTAATTGTCATCTTGGGATGAAATTGTTCCTTAAGGACAACCATGACAGGAACTTGCCTTCTAGTGAGGACAGCGTGTTGCTGAGTAAAGAGATTAAGGCTGGGAGCCATTGCTGAGCCCTCTGATTTAAAGCATCAACAGAATTCTTTCAGAAGAGCCAATATGCCCTTGGGGAAGAGGGTAGGGAGCCCGAGAGAGATGAGGGAGCAGTTTTCCTCTGAACTGTACCAAATTAAGGGTTTTTAATAAAACTATAGTTCACTGTATTGTAATTCTGTTAAGTCAATAGGTTTTGTGAAAATAAAGGAGTTAATCTAAGTTTCTGATTTAACAATCCTTCTGTTTAAAGCAGCACTTAATTATGTGGTCTATTTGTTTCAAAACAGAAGGTAAGTGTATACCTGTATGTAAGTGTCTTTGCTGATTGGTAGTGGACTTGCGTGTGTGCTCGAATGGTGTAATGAAATGAGGTTTAAGTCTATGCAGAGATGTTGTAAGTTGGTCTCTTTTGTTCTGGGCGTGTTGTGACAATTCCCACAAATTGCCAGGATATGAGTGCATGGGTCACCCACTTTTTTTTTTTGCCAGGCAGCTTTGTGTGGTTTTTAATCACAGTGGTTTGAGGGAGGAGGTGGAAAGGGTCTAGAGTACAAGCAGCCCTTATGTTTTCATTTCATAATCTGTTCTTTCTGTCTGACCCTATCAGTCATTTGCACAGCCTTGAGAGAGGCTTAGGCTGTCTCTGGTTCAGTGAGAGCAAAGAATGAAACATAGCTGGGGGAGTAGAAAAATAGTGACTATATCCTGTAAAGTGTTATGCCTCAGTGGCAGAAGTCGTGTGGGGTGCTGTGTTTTCCCCTGAATCGGTCAATGTTGCAATATGAACCTGGGAGCACTGAAGTCAGTGGAAGGCTCCCCGTTCTCATAAATGGGCTTTGAACCAGGCCTTTAAAGAGCAGCTCCAGTATCAGCAAGGGCAGCCTTGCCACTGGTTCTGTGTAACTCCGCTGATAAGATGGATGCCATGCAGGGGGTAAATGTAGGCAGCTTGATTTCTATGCCTGTGTGTGACTATGGTTGCTTGCAGTATTAGGGTTGGTCAGTCTGCCTAAGAACGCTCTTCTGAAGGTGTAGCGCTTTATGATGATCTCTTCCTTGGTATTGGTTTGGCCTTAAAATTGACAATTTGTCTGGCAGTTTATCCTGGAATTGACTGCATTTCTCTGCTGAATGAAATAATCTGTACGTGTACATTTAATTCACTTACACCGCAAAAACCTAGCGCCAGATTTCCTTTGCCTGCAAGTGAACATTACTATGATCCAGAAAGTAAGGAATACTATGTAGGGCAAAGTGTGATAATGAACTCTGGGGACAGTGATGATTCAGCTTCTGGGGTAAATGGGCTGGAGAGAAGAAGGGACTGTTGTTAGAGCTCCAGGTGTAGCATGAATCTGTTAATTGTACTTAATCTCAGATGATAATAAAATTATTACCATTTTCCTGAAATCTCAGGAATGATTCCAGTTTTCACTACAGCTATCTCTAAAACAGAAGGAATTACATATATTAAGGCCCAAACTTTTTAGGGCTATCTTACCAGAATAGATATTTGATTTTTTTCATGTTAGATTTTTTTTTAGAAACCCTTTGAGGACACTTCCATCTTCTAGGACTGATGTTCAGGAGTGCCAAGCATGCAGAGCTCCTGTAAATTGTCTGAGCCTGTGCATGCTTGTCCCTTCTGCAGACTGAGGCTCTAGTGTCTCAAACTGGACAGAAGATAGTTTCTTTGGTTTTGGGTTACATAGCAAAAGAAGCTGCCTAAACATCAGTTATGAAAAATGCAACCTCTGAATAGAATTTGCTTTCTATTACCACTTCCAGAAGAATTTGTTTTGTGGACACTCTCTGCTTGTGACTTATAAATGTTTTCTAAGACTAAATCTATTATGTAAAGGATTCAAAAACTGAGATGGGCAATTCTGTACAGCGTGATTTGCTGACAGATTGCCTCAAAGTAAAGCAAAGTTGCCTTGCTGAAAGCAGGTAACAAAAAATTGTAGTTATCATTCTGGGTCTCCTCCTCTTTCAAGTAATAGAACATTTCCTCAGACTGAATCGGGTGGTTTGGGATTTCAGTACCTGCCAAAAGGGGTGGGTTTGGCTCCAAAGGGAAAACAGGAAATGGCTTGAAAGTTAATACAGCTTGCAGAAAACAGTTTTTATGCTTCTGACCAAATATTGCAGGGCTCACAGCTGCCCCTGGGGTACAGAAACAGGAAACTCGGCAACAGAAAGAGACAGTATCTTTTTAGTTTGCAGAGCAGATTTGCAAAGGGTATCATCAAATTGGATGCTTAATTTACACTTTTCAAGTATATTTTTAGTGAAAGAGCAGGAAGGGAAAATATGGGTTTACTTTCTATGTACTGGAGATCTTATAAGCTCTCACTTGTACTGAAGATGGTTCTGTAGAAAGAAAAGTTCTAGCAGCACATGGAGCTGCACAT